GTCTCAGCTCCCGCATTGCGCTCCCGTGTTGCGCTCCCACAGCAGCCCCCGCAGCCAGACCCGCCCCGGCCGCCTCTCGCCGCCCCTGGCGCTCCTGTCTTCTGTTCTCGCTGCTGCCTTCTCAGTCTCTCTTCGGCTCGTGGTTCCAGTGGCGCCTGGGGCCGGGTAGATGACAGCCCCCTCCCTGGCAGATACCGCTGTCGCCGGACCTCGAGTCCCGGTGGCGGGGCTGCGCAGCCTGGCCCGGCGCTGAGGGTAGCAGCTGCGGTGGCCATGCGCCGAGTGGCGGCCACTCCAGGCGGCTTCTTCCCTGGGAGGATTTTGTAAATTTCACAAAATGGCGTGCACTCCAAACCTCCGTGGGCATATTATGAGAGTCCCCTTCAAGGTCTCAGCAATCCACTTGGGTAGTAACAGCTACCCCCGGCACAAGCAAGGACACCAGATATTCTGACTCACCATCAGGCTTTCTGAGTTCCTCTTCTTGCCGGTGGCCTCTAGGATCCTGCCGTTGCAGGGCGCGGATGGTTCACTCCCTTCCCGCCGCCATGTTCTCTCCCCATCCTGAAGTATTTAGTTTCTGAGGCTGTGAAGTCCAAAGTCCATCTGATGGTGGCGACAGCGACCCAGTGGTCTCACATTGCAAGGGTTTCAGAGGCTGGGAAGTCCAACGTCCAAGGAACACATCTGGTGAGGGTTTTCTTTGGTGGTGACTTTACAGAAATGTAGGAGTCTCATGTGGCAGAAAATGGCAGAGCAGAGATAGATAGATACCTATAGCCATTTTCTAAGGGAGAAGTGTAAAGCATATAAGCATAAATGCAAAATCTGTATCCTCCGTCATGTTTCTGCATATGTGATAAAAAAGAGACTCACTTCTGTACTTGAAAGTACCTGATGAAAGGAAACCTAGACATCTTCATAGTGAAATAATGAGATATAACAGCAGGAGACACCCTTTGTTTTAAAAATAAAACACAGAAGATGGTGTAAAGAAATGAAAGGTGCTTTGTTGAAAACTACAAGTAGGCAGAAAATTAAAATTCTCAACAATTATTTACTCTTAAATTAAAATTCAAATATAAACGAGGAGGGAAAGAAAAACATGATAGAACATTAGGAAATATATTAATACAATATTACATTATCAGTAAGAAAAAATTCCATAAACTCATGAAACCAATATCCATTATTGATTTTGTTGTTGTTGTTTGTTTGGTTTTTTGTGACCAGTAAGGGGATCGTAACCCTTGGCTTGGCGTCACTCGCACTGCGCTCAGCCAGTGAGTGAACCGGCCATCCCTATATAGGATCCAAACCTGCGGCCACGGCTCTACATGCACCACTGTGCTCCCAGCACCACACTCTCCCGAGTGAGCCACGGGGTCGGCCCCATTATTGATTTTTTAATGAAATGTTTACTTACTAGGCATGGAAGGCACTCTGTATGTTTACTTGAGCAATGAGATGTGCTTATCTGTGGTTCATAAATAGTTATTTTTTTCTCATTTCAGATGTCCAGATAGACGATGACCTAGTGGAGAGGAACCAGGAAAGTCATGGTAGATGCTTGCAGCACATAGTAATCACCAACAGCAACACATCAGCTGAGGAGAGAGTTGTGTTAGGAAAATCATGTTATTTGAATTCATATCATGTTTTAAATCTGATTATAAGTAATGGAAACTATTCAGGAAAGGGACATGAGGAGTTTTGCCTATGTCAGAATGCACTTCTTCCTCAGATGCCTGCTGGAGAGAAACTTTATGACCATGATATAACTGGAAATTTTCCCAGACATCATGAGCATCTTAGTCAGCATCCCAATATTCAAAGTGGGATGCAGCCTTTAGAATACAGTGGAAAAGGGAAATCCTCCAACACAGAGCCAATAGAATTTACCCATGAAAATATTCATATGGATGACACCACCTATAAATATAACGAATATGGGAAAGGCTGTGGGAAGTCAGCTGTCATTGACCAAGAAATAAATCAGGTAGAAAGGAAAACTTTTCAATGTGATGTATGTGGGAAAATATTCTATAAAAAATGTGAACTCACTAAACATCAGATTATGTACATAGGAGAGAAGCACTATAAATATACTGAATGTGAGAAATCTCTTATTAAGAAATTACACCTTACCTCACACCAGAGAACACCTATGCAGGAGTATCTTTATGGTTGTAATCAACATGAGAAAATTTTTTGTCAGAAGTCAGACCTTACAATGCATCAGAGAAGTCACACAGGAGAAATTTACTATGGAAGTATTAACTGTGGAAAAAGCTTCTGTGAGAATTCACTCCTCAGCCATCCTGAGAGAAATCACACAGATGAAATACCAGATGGATATAATGAATGGAGAAAATTTTTCTACCATGAGTCTGCCCTTACTCTATATCAGAGAATAGACACACATGAGAAACCATGTAAAGAATATAAAAAATCGTACAGTAATAAATGTGGTAAAACGTTTTGCCAAAAGTCACACTGCAGCAGCCTTCAGAGAATTCACAGAGGTGAGAAACCTTGTGAATGTAAAGAATGTAGGAAAGCTTTCCTCTATAAGTCAGTCCACATTTTATATCAGAGAATTCACACAAGTGAGAAACCATATGAATGTAAAGAATGTGGAAAAACCTTTAACCGAAGGTCAAACCTCAGCATGCATCACAGAATTCACACAGGTGAGAAACCATATGAATGTGAGGAATGTGGAAAAGCTTTTATCCAAAAGGCAGACCTCAGTAGGCATGAGAGAACCCACACTGGTGAGAAACCGTATGAGTGTAAAGAATGTGGAAAAGCTTTTAACCAAAAGTCATACCTCAGCATTCATCAGAGAACTCACACAGGTGAGAAACCATATGAATGTAGAGAATGTGGAAAAACTTTTAACCGAAAGTCAAACCTTAGCATCCATCAGAGAATTCATACAGATGAGAGACCATATGAGTGCAAAGAATGTGGAAAAGCTTTTAACCAAAAGCCATACCTCAGCAGCCATCAGAGAACTCACACAGGTGAGAAACCATATGAATGTAGAGAATGTGGAAAAACCTTTAACCAAAAGTCACACCTCAGCCACCACCAGAGAATCCACACAGGCAAGAAACCATATGAATGTAGAGAATATGGAAATACTTTTAACAAAAAGTCACACCTCAGTAGCCATCAGAGAACCCAGACAGATGAGAAACCATTTAAATGTAAAGAATGTGGAAAAGCTTTTAACCAAAAGGTAGACCTCAGCAGGCATGAGAGAACGCACACAGGTGAGAAACCATATGAATGTAAGGAGTGTGGAAAAGCTTTTACCCGAAAATCATACCTCAGCATTCATCAGAGAATTCACACAGGTGAGAAACCTTATGAATGTAAAGACTGTGGAAAAGCTTTTACTCACAAGTCAGATGTCAGCAGGCATGAGAGAATTCACACAAGTGTGAAATCATATGAATGTAAAGACTGTGGGAAAGCCTTTAACCAAAAGTCATACCTCAGCAGGCATGAGAGAACTCACACAGGTGAGAAACAGTATGAATGTTAAGACTGTGGGAAAGCTTTAAACCAAAAGTCATACTTCAGCTTTCATCAGAGAACTCACATGGGAGAGAAACCATATGAATGTAGAGAAAGTGGAAAAACTTTTAAACAAAAATCAAACCTTAGCAGTCATCAGAGAATTCACACAGGTGAGAAACCATGTGAATGTAAAGAATGTGGGAAAACAGTTTACTAGAACTCACCGTAATAGACATGAACAAATTCACACATGGGAAAATCTCAATTAACATCTTGGCTGTGGGAAAAGGTCTTGCCATAAATCACACCTCACATTTTATCATGGAACTTACACCAAGAAGAAGCCCTATAAGTGCACAACTGTCCCTTGGTATTGGAGGTTGGCTCCAGGAGCCCCTGTTGATGAAAACACAAATGATCAAGCACATTCTATAAATGGTGTACTGTTTCAATATTACCTGTGCACTTTTTTCCATGTTCTTTTCATCTTGAGTAGATTATATATATTGCTGAATACACAAGGAATTCCTTGTAAATAGTTACACTGTGTTGTGGTTTTTTTTTTTACTTGTATTATAGTTTTATTTTTTTCTTTTGGTTTTTAAGAATTTTTATGTGTTTGGCTGAATCAGCAGATGTGCAACCCTCAGATATAGAAGGAGGTCAATAATTGTGAAAACATCTTATTTCAGCAGTTACAGGGCTGGCTATAGTTAGTGTATTGTTGGTTAGAGCATTATGCTGATAACACCATGGGTCCCTGTACTGCCCAGCCACAGAAAAACAAAAACAACCCCCCACCCCCCGAAAGAACAAAGAAAAGTAAAAAGAACTTACCCAGTAGCAGTCATGAGATAATTTCCAGTGGGGGGGTGGAATTTTGCGTGTATTAGAATAGGTATGTATTTCCTAAAAAATACCTTTATTCTCTTGTACACATGCCTTCAATCTCAACCTTTAATTATAGCTTGTGGAATCATGTAATTTGGCTTTGTTCAGGGAAGTATGAAGACAGCTGATAAATGTTACTTACAGGCCAGGCAATTAAAAAAAAATGTTCATGGATTTGTCTCTGATTTCTCATGTTCTTTGGGAGTGAAGGGCAGATGACTCCTAAGGTGGAGTTGCAGACCATATGTGGGAGAAACCTGCCATAATTTAAGACAGACTGAATTGAAGCAGCCACAGTTCTTTCCAACTATATCCCCAAATCGTCTATTCATACTTTATGTAAGAAATGCTTACTATGGTTTTCCATTGCATATGTGATCTCTTTGTGTTTCTACACAAGTAGCCCTCTGTGCTAACTGGCTTTATGAACTTTCTGAGAGAAGTTATCAGTTCTCGAACAGAATATTCACAGAGAAGAGAAACCTGCATTGTTACCTTTTACACCCAAGTCTGCTTATGAGAAAATTAAATTATGGGGAGAAATAGTGCAATAAATATGGAACACCTTACCAGGCAGGGATTTCTCATTAAACAGTGACAATAATTTATCTTCATCAATATCTTTAATATGTCAAAGCTTCCAACATAACTTTCACTTTTATATATCAGGTAATTTGAAATGAAGAGAAAACTATCAATTTATGTAATGCGAATGCAAATTTTCAAGTAGAATTAATAAACGTAGGGTCAAAACTACTTTAAAGGTTTTTACTACCTAACAGCAGTTAAATATGAGTGGTGATATTGCCTGCCAGCAGACATTTGGCTATTTTCTGAAGACATTTTTGTTGTCATTGGATGTTAAAAGGTCTAGTGGGAAGAAGCCAGAGATGCTGCTACACAGCATACAATGCACAAAACAAACCCAAGTATGCAACATTTATGCATGTAAGTTTTATTTGTTAAAAACTTACCTTGATAGAAGCAAGCAAAACTATGGATAGGAAATATTTACACATAGGATAATAGTGTGACTTACATAAGAATTTTTTATTAGCCTATTCATTGTTACAAATCATACTTATTCTTATGCCCCTTATCCAATCTTTACCTTCCCCTTCCTCTACCCCTTCTAATAACCATAGATTCGTTCTCTCCACCTGATAAACTTTTCCTCTGTTTTGTTGCCTATATTATCCATCCAGTGCTGTGACGAATGTGATCAAGTCCTCCCCTATTATCACAAATCAGATGCTTGTTTTGCTCTGGAGTGTGCTTTGTGGAGAGACTGTGGCTTTTTTTGTCTCTGCTGTCGTCTCTCCTTGTGTCAATGCAGTTGAGAGTCTGATGTACCATCTGCACAGTGGCTGTGACTGCTGCTATAGAGCCTAGCTGCTTTTGCAGTAGCCAGAGCAATTGTGGCTTTGGTGGGCTACCTGCATGAAAATGGTATTTTTGGGTTGCTGCAGCTGGGTTCAGCTTCCCCAGACTCCATGTCTTAGAACCCTGGTGTGAACCAGCATGGTGGTGGTAGCTTGCCTAGTTCTGGTTGGGTTCAACTTTCCCCAGCTCCATGCTCCAGACCTTGGCAGGGCCCAGGTGGTGGTGGCTGCTTGCCTAGTTACGGCTGGTTTTGGCTGCCCCTGGCTCCATGCCTCATTGTAAGAGGTTGTTGTGGAGGAGAATGGGGAGGGGAAATAGGGTGAGAAGAGAGGAAATGAGGTGGGGAATGATTGAAGAATGTGGCCTCCCTCATTCAGGGTAGATCAGAGGACTTCTAGCAGTGGCTGGGTTGTCTCTGGGCTGGATGCAGATGTCAGGGGGTGTGGCTCAAGCCCGTGGCCCTCAACTGCCCCAGCTCAGGAGCTTGGGGTGCTTCTTACAACAGCTCCCTGGTTGTCACTGGGCTCATTCTGATGCCCAGGGGATGTGGCAGAGGCCCTCAGCTCCCCACTGCCCCAGCTTGGGAGACCAGGGCACTTCCTGTCATGGCACAATGGTCATCACTAGGCTGGTTATAGATGTTAGGGGGTGTAGCCAAGGCCCTCAGCCCTCTGCCATTCCAGGTCAGGATCCCAAGGCAGTACCAGCAATTGCTTGGTGGTCATCACTGGGCTGGTTGTGAATTTTGGGGGGACATGGCTGAAGCCTTTGACACCCCCACAGCCCTGTCTCAGGAGCCCAGTGTACTTCCTGCAGCAGCTTGGTGGTCATCACTGGGCTCATTGCAGATATTGGGGTGATGGATGAGACCTTTAGTGCCCCACAGTCACATCTCATGAGTCCACGGTGTGTCCTACAGTGGCATGGTTGGATGCAGATGTTGGGAGTGTGTGGCTGAGGCCCTTGACCGCTCAGTCCCCTGGCTCAGGAGCCCAGGGTGCTTCCTGTGGATGCTCAGTGGTCATCACTGGGCTGGTCATGGATGTTTGATGGGCATGACTGAGGCCCTCAGTGCTCCCATCTCCCTGGCTTGGGAGCCCAGGTGCTTCTGTTCCTTCTAGGTTTTAATAGGTGTTCTTTGGTGATGTTAGACCTTTAGTAGTTAAGATCAAACATTCTTCTGTTGGTATTTTGTTTTCTTTCACTTCTGTGTTGGATTGTTCACTGTTCCCACCACTTAAACTCTGCACTAGAACTAATTTGTCCTTTTCTTCCTTCTAAAATGGAGGAACTTCCTATGGGGACCAGGACTTTTATCTAAATTGCTGCTTTGCTGCTGATTCTCTGGTGATGGAGTTTGGATGTGTTGTCCCCCGCAAAACTCATGTGGAAATTTGATCCCCAGTGTGGCAGTGTTGGAAACTGACTGAGTCATGGGGGCAGATCCCTCATGAATGGATTAATGCTCTCCCTCAGGGAGAGGAGATTAATCAGTGAGTTCTCACTATTCCCATGAGAGCTGGTTGCTTTAAAAGACCCTAGCTGCTCCTCTGTCTCTCACTTCCTCTCTCTTGCTTCTTCTCACCATGTGATCTGCTTGTACCTGCAGGCTGCCTGCAGCTTTCTGCCATGAGTAGAAGCAGCCTGAGGTCTGAGCCATATGCAGCTGTCCCAGAATTGTAAGCCAATTAAACCTCTGTTCTTTATAAATTACCCAGTCTCAGGTATTTCTGTTATAGCAACACAGAAAGGACTAATACACCTGGGGAAGGCTTTCTGTGCACCTCCTATTTTAATAGTTGACCTTGTATGTACTTTCTGGTCTTTTGAGGTTTGGTACACCTGGGTTGTGTGGAAACTCTGGTCTGGGCCTGGGCCTTTTCAGCAAACTGAAACCACAGCAATTCTATATTCCTGACCAATCTACATTGAGTGATCCTGTGCTGATTGGGGAGCAGATCAGCTGTCTATGCTGTGCACTTATGTTCTGCTGGTGGGCCCATCTTCCCAACCACCCACACTCCAAACACTTCTCATAGGACAGGCTGTGCACTGGTCCCTTGTCATGACTCACTGGCCTCTCAGTGGTTACTTTTTTCTGTTGTCTGTGGCTCCTCCCATATGGGTCCATGGAAACCCTGTTAGTGCTCTGGCTGGCCTGGGGTCCACTAAGTCCCTTGTCTTCCCCTCCACTTTCAAGTAACTTCATACAAAGGGCACATCTGTGGCTTTTGATATCTCTTGCTCCATGTGTTCAACAGTTCCATCCTTAAAGCAGCTGGGGCTCAAAATTGTGGGAGTGATCCTTTCTCTCATTGAGGTTTCTTCTGACTTCATGAACTCCATAGATCTCTCCTCTTCTTTCCCTGTGTTCTAGCAGCCCCAGCTTGGCTGTCTTTCCTTTTTAATGGTTGTAAATTGGTTGATTTGTCAGACAGAGTGACATTGGGGACCATCCATTATGCCACCTTGACTGGAAGGCTTACCTGAGAATTTTTGACATTAAATGACACCTTTATATTTTGTTAAATTTGTTGTCTAAAGAACTGTGCTTCTTACTTTATTTCTACTCTCCTATTGTAGGTAAATTTGTATGACCATTACTACAAAACTCTCTTTTAAGTAAATGTAAATTTTTCTTATGTTTGAAGCTAACACAGAGCCAGTCAGTGGGTTGAATAGAAATACTTCCATGAGAATATACAGATCAGGCACATAATTGTTAAGAGATTAAATCTGCAATCATTTAAGCTGCTATAAACAGTAGTATTTATCGTATTCTATTTGGTGGAAAGTACTGTCTGGTAGGAAGATGTATCCTTCAGTCCTATTCCTCATATTTTTAAATGGGACCACATAATAGATATGATTAAGTGTACCACATGCTCTATATTTCAGGAATATCTTTTGTTTATTTCTGCAGTGATGGAGGGCTATGTTTGTACTTTGCCACTAAGAGGGGCAACAGAGTAAATCCCAGTTCCACTTGTGTATTGCCTTGTGCATGGTTCTTCTTGCACATAGGTCTGCAGATGTATCAATGTCTCCAGAGCCTGTTTTAAATGAAGCTCCTTTCTGTCCTCAGAGCCATAGTGAGGGGAGGAAACCCAAGCACCAGGAAGGGGTAAAAGTAAGACAAAATGGGGTCCAGAATAGGTCCTGAGGTGTGGCTGAATGCAGTGACACAGAGGTCACTTCCATTTGCCACCCTTCTGTCTCCTAACCTCTAGTATCAATGAGCAGAAACTACAGCACCATTATTTCTTTATCATCTTCCACTCTGTATTATTTTCTTTTTTCTGTTCTTAGGGAAAAGATTTTTCTGTTCTTAGGGAAAAAGATTTTTCCATCTTTTTCTTGCATTTTAGTTGAAAGGTTAGCTTTTGATTTCAGATATTTTCAGAGTATAGAAATTTACAGCTATAAATTTTATTCTAACTCCTTTTTAAGTTTTCATATGTCATGTTTTTGTTTTCAGCCTCAAAATGTTTCTGATTTTTTGTGTGACTTTATGACTTACTGGCTGTTTGGAGTTTGTTGTTTAATTTGCACAGAATTGTAAAATACTGAAATATCCTCCAGTTAAACATTTTCAATTTAAATCTGTTGTGGTCAGAGAACATACTTTGTATGATTTCAGTCCTCACATTTATTGAGACTATTTTATGGCCTCGCAAGTGGTGTTTTCTGGGGTCCTTCCATGTGCATTTATTTTTTTTATTTTATTTTTTTATTTTTTTTCCTTTTTGTCTTTTTCCGTGTCCGGCAACGGATCGCAACCCTCAGTGTCG